AGGGGATGTCCCCGTGTCCCCAGGGGTGGCAGTGCCCACCTTCCACACAGTTGGTGGAGAAGAAGCAGATGTTCCGGGTCTCCAGGGGGTTCTCGTGGGTGAACTCCGGGGAGCGCGTCTGCGGCTCCGACTCGCCCGTCAGGGACGAGTTGTCCACCTGGGGAGGGGACAGGACATGTCCCCGTGTCACCACCCGTGCCCACCATGCACCCACCCTCACCTGCCTCAAAGCCCACCCGGTGCCCATCCTGGTGCCCCCCAGTCCCTCCCCAGCGCTCCCATTCCCCCCGTGCCCACCTTGCAGCCGTGGGAGGAGATGATCCTCATGTCAGCGGGCACCCTGTCCCCCCCTTTGACCTCCACCAGGTCTCCCACCACCACGTTCTCTGCGTTGATCTGGATCTTCTCGCCCTCCCGGATCACCAGCGCTTGCTGGGGGGGCACAGGGCACCTCAGGGGGTGCCCATGAGCCCCCGGGCCCCTCCGGGTGCCCCCCCGGGTGCCCCCCCATGCCCACCTGGGGCACCATGTTCTTGAAGGAGTCCATGATCTTGGAGCTCTTGGCCTCTTGGTAGTAGGAGAAGCAGCCGGTGACGATGACGACAGCGGCCAGGACCACTCCCAGGTACAGCTGGCACCGCGGGGAGGGGGCAAATCAGTGCCTGGGGGGCACCAGGGCACCCCCCGGGGACTCCCAGAGGAGACACCCCCCCCACACCAGTGACAGCCCGGTGTGTGACCCCCACAGCTGAGCACGGCATAGTCTGTGCCCCCCCAGTGCCAGCGTCCCTCCCAGTGCCAATGTCCCCCCCAGTGCCAATGTCCCCCCCTGTGCCAATGTCCCCACGGTACCTGTGCCTCCCCAGTGCCTCCTGGAGATGTCCCCTGTGCCCCCTCAGTGCCCCAGCCCCCCCGTGCCCCCCAGCCCCTCACGTTGTCGTTGGATGGCTCATCCTCCATGGCGGCCTGGATGCCGTAGGCCAGGAAGCAGAGGATGGCCCCGATCCAGAGCAGGATGGAGAAGCCCCCGAAGAGCTGCCGGCAGAACTTCACCCACTCGGGGGTCGTGGGCGGGGGGGTCAGGGCGTTGGGGCCATCCTGTACCAGGATCTCGGCGGCCCGGGCGTTGGTCAGCCCCTGGGGGGCACGGGGAGGGGGGCACGGGGTCACCCGCGACCCCCCAGGGGTGTGGGGGCTGGGTGTGGGGGGGGCACAGAGTGCTGGGAGGGGGCAGGGGACACAAGGGGTGTCACCCATGGGGACAGGA